ACATGCCCTCTAGTCTGGAGCTTTAGATGCTTACTGAGGACTTAAAACTAAAAAAAAAATTATCTTTATAAATCTTTCCACAGAAAACCTGGGCATCAACTGGAAGGTAGTCTGATATCCTTAAGACAGGTTCCACAGCATTAAACAGCAGCAACAGGATTTCCTACAGTCTCATGACTTACTGCCCAGACATTTTACAAGGGTGTAGTCTACGTATGAAATTAAGGTCAAGCAAGGCCAGGACATCATTTCCATGGTGGGATAGTCTTCACATCACCTGGAAGACGGAAGGAAATCTTACTCATGGATATGGATATGGGTATGTGCCAGCTTTTTCTGTCCATAGGGCATCTAGAAGCACTGCCAAAGTAAATGACTGATTTGATGCATGCTTCAAAGAAGGCCACAAAGCTAAGGAGCTTTGGATCCTCAAAGTCCTTCCTTCACCTGCAGCATTGACACTGTTCAGCCTTCATTGAGATACAAGTGATTTTGCTATTACTCAAGCATCAGGCACTTGGAGATAATTTTCTGAAGTCTGTTCACCTGGTGGTTGCACATAGGTTTAAAATCAGACCACATCTGGTCATGTGGAACTCTGCAAAGGAAAGCAGCATCAGCAAAGAGGCAATTTCACTCCTCCTGATATTTTCCTTTTCACTGACAATTTGAGTACATCACGCTGAAACCTTGCTCCTTACACATATGGGACATTAGTAGCACATACTCAAAAGCATCAGAAGCTGTAGATAGGCCTTAGAGAGGATGAGAATGGTTACCCTCCACTGATTGAAAGCAGGAGATGCTCGGTCAGTGCTATTAAAGTTATTTCTCTTGGCTGCCTTTGTATCTGGATTGGGTTTGGTTTGATGAGTTTATAATTGATCTACAACGGCTTGTTGTAGCATTCATTCAGCAGTGCTATTCTACAGCTGTGTGCATGTAGAAAAAGAGGAAAACTTTAATTTCAGGTGAGGAATTACTTTAACCAGAAATTACACCAATTTCTCATGTTTCTTGCAGTACTCAAGAGGAGCACAAGTAGGTTTACAGCTTGATCTGAGAATCCTCAATGAGCTGAATGCGGAGAATGCAGGCATCCTGTTCATTCACTTGAATAGGAGGGCAGGGGACTCATGCTGGTCTTGACAAACTGTCCTCAGTTCATGGGATTGTTCATCCATGCAGGCCTTTGTTGTTAGTGGTAACCTGGGTTAGCGAAAGGTTCACACCACTGCATATCTCCTATAGGCATAGTTTGGCAGTTTTATGGAAAGCTCATAAGAAAGTTCCCTTGGGTCTGTTAAGCAGCCACCATAGGAGAAATTCTTTCTTTCAACTTCACTGTCACTGTTGTAAATATCTGATCCTCATTCCATATGGCACTGGATTTAAAAAATACAGCATCTAAACCAATATGTGATAATTACTGTTTTTTATTCTCCAAATAAAAAAAGCTTGTTCCATGAAGGACCCTAGAAAACATACCATGGTAGGGGACACTCTTTCTGCCTTCTGTATACCCAGAGTGCCTTTTGCATGTTTCTTTTCTCTCCTCCTGGTCTTCACCCAGAATATTTCAAGACTCAATCTCAGAATTTGGTGGATGTTGCAGACCTCCCTGTGTCAGAGCCCTTCCCTGTAAGAGATGGGAATATCCTCATCTGAGACTGCAAAAGAATGAGCAAGGAGAAGAGGAAGAAACTTCTGCATAGCTGATCCCCAGCATAGGAAACATAGTTCTCTGCGTATCTGGGAGCCAACTACTGACCTGGGTAGAGCTGCTGCCAACACTGCTCTGCGTGTCAGTGAAAAGCACTGACATTCCCAGATGACATATCTGGACCATTTCACCACCATGGCCCACAAAACGCAAGTTCCTCCACAATCCTTTTAGTCTTTGGTGATCTCCTGATACAAGAAGCCCAGTAGTCTATTGTCCGATGCACTTCTGCAGAGAAAAGGGCTGTATTAACTAGAACACTTTAGATTAATGTCAGTAAGGTTATCCTATGAGGTTTTTCCTTTATACTGAAAAAATAAAACCTGGTTTCACATCAGCCTGCCAAAGGGAGCCTTCATGCAAAATTCAAGCCAATGAATTCAGGCCATCCTCAGAGTCTTATCTCAGAACCTTGCAGCAAGTGAGACAGGAAAACCTTTTTTGGAGGTTAACATGTAGCTGTGTTTATGATTAGGATTGTCAAGAATATTCACAGCTACTTCTGCAGTGCTTCTACATACAGGTCTTTACTAGGGATGAGAAAACAACAAATTCATCCATTTACCTTGGCAAAAAGAGTCACAAAGTGACTGCATTTCCCTAAGAAAGAGCAGACATCCAACCTGTTACAGTACTCTAATGGCCCATAATCTATGCTGTTTCTACCTCTGTACAAACTGGGCACAGTAAGGCTTTGGATGGGAAAGTTTTGGGGTTGGAATTCTTTTCAAACAGAATATTCATTAAAAGGTATCTGAGCAGCCACACTATTTCCCCATTTATCATCAAATGCATGAGGAAAACTGCCTCATCTGCAACTCTTCTTTGCTTTCAGAATTCAGTCAGAGCAAGATGTACGTGTTACTCACCACAGCACAGTCTGCTTTTCTCTGAATGAACAATAGCATGAGCATGATTTTACCGGTGTTATGGCACATTACTTCAGAATTTGCACTTAGCTGATTAAGAAGCAGTGAAAAATCTTACTAATTTTTTTAGATTAAATGGGTGGCATATAAGTTAATGCAGCCCACAGGGCACTCTAAGTAAAATGATTTATGTTCCTTATACGGCAAATATTAACAGATTATTTTTTTTAAATCACTTTAGTAAACAACCTTTGGGGAGTTTTGCTGAGAGCCTAATCTGTATTTAATGTAGGCATTTGAAAATTACATGGACAAGCTTTGTGAAAAATCTCTTAAAAATGAAGCTGTGTTGTTTACTTTAAACAGCAGCCAAGTGAAGCATTTGTTCTGTTTTGACCTCATTCTGTAAATGACTGAATGCATAAATCTAAGGTTCTGGATCCAGACTACTGTAAGGTTGAGCCCTTCATGAATTCCTTCTTTACCATTTTTACAGATCTGCTGAAAAAAAGCTTTCTTGGGAGTTTCCCTTAAAAAATCTCTCAAAGTTGTCAGATATGACAGCTTTACTAGAATGCTACAAAATTAAGGAGAAAATGCTGGACAAAGTCTAGGTATGACAGTAAAGAAATCACCCCTTCATTAGACAATGAAAGAAAGTTAACAAAAGAAAAAACAGAGAGAAGCCCAGTGCAGTGGAGATTTGTGGTACAGCATCTGTTCCTTTAATTTTAACACTGAAATGAATTACTATATTTGATTTTGAGCTTTCAGAGGCAAGAAGCCTTGAGAAGCACAGCAGAAAGAAAACACAATATATGGAATGAGTTAAAAATAAAAACAACATGCCTTGCAAATAAATCCACTTCAAAACAATAATAAAGGTGAAGGGGAGAACTTCTGAATATATTTTTCTAATAAAAATAAGACAAATCATTAATATATGCCTGACAATTACTGAAAATGGTGTCTGCTAAAATGGCTGAGTCTTGTCGAGGTTGCATTTAAATTCTGCTATGTATTAAGAAATGCCCAAATAATGGACAGAGTTCAGAGTGCATAATAATCTTGTTACAAAGAGCACCTGCAGAGACCATACTGGCCTATAGTTTAAACATTTTCTACAATTAAAATACCTAAATCTAGAGGCCACCTGTTTCCTGCCTTTGCCTTCTTTGAGTGCCAGAAGTTTTACTGTAAACACAGGTGAGCAAAATAAGATGCTGACTGATGTTAGGGGACTCGAGGAATTTGCACAACAGCTGAAGTTCCAGCCAGCCACTTTTCAACTCCCAGTCCCTCAATTAAAACTGATGAGAGAAGCAGTATTCTCTCTTCCTCTCCCAGTGGCAAGATGCTTACATGGGAATTCCCACACCAGGCTGGGACACCAGCTATCCATCCAGCAGCTTGGATTTGACAGTAACCAGTACCAGATGTTCCAGCAAAGGCATAATAAAATGCAGAGAGAGAAATTGCAGAGAAAATAACTCAGTTTTTCCCAATTTCCATCTGGTCCCTGCAAAATGAACATATTCTGGGACATACTACATCCCAAGAACCTGGTCTGGCTATTCAGAAATTTGCCAAAAAGCTGTCCAGATGACAACCCTGAATTCATTGCTGACAGGTATAATAGAGAGGCTGTGGACTGTCCTTACTCTAGGACCCTTAAGAGAGGTTGGATTCCCATTTTCATTTCAGTCTAACTGTGAAAAAGAAGGTAAAACATTTCCGGAAATTCTAAAAGGGATTTTTCTCTTTTAAGGAGACATATTAAAGAAGTGCTGTCAGATGAGTAGGAGTCTTGAAGGCTGGAAATAGAAATCAGAAAATACATCTTCAGGTTCAATCTTCCCCTAATAACACTGGCAGACCAGTTAATACCAGCTGGGAATCATATCCTACTCATCAAGAATGTCAGTTGCTCGGGTCTTAACCCAAGACACCAACAGCTAGTCTAAGTAAGACTCAACTCAGAAAGCTCTGCTTTTGAATATTCCCAACAGCACAGAGTAGAATCCTCTGCATTAAGAAATGCTTGCTGACAAACACCTGTCTAAAACTCAGTCCCCTGCAAAAGATCTTCCACAATGCAAGGCTTAGGGTAAAATAGAAACCATACAATGCTTGGGCCTTATCCAGACCAACGGACAGGGGCAATCCTGTGCTCCTCTGCCCCATGAGCGGGGCAGATGTGAAGCAGCACTGATCCAGCAGCTGCACAGCTGCATCCCTGCTGCACTGCTGCCACTGCCATCAGCCAAACTAAGAGAGCACCTGGCCACTCCAAGGACTGCCAGTGCCTTCCTGAATAGGCACATCCTTGGTTTTACCAGCTGAGGTGCCTGGAGAACAGCTTTGGCTGTGCTGGAACAAGGCAGGCACATCTGTAGCAGGGCAGAGTGTGAACCAGGCAAGGAGATTTTACTTTTTTTCCCCTTCTGGTATCAAACTTCTCTGGAGGACCCGACAATGAATTGAAGTTACAGTTTCGCAGAAACACACAGAACATTTATTCAAGCCGACAGAAGTGTACAAATATTTCTGAAAGACAAAAAGGCATGAAATAGGTCCTGGCTTCTTACTGCCTAACACACTGATGATCCTGTGAAGCTAAAATCAGGAATCTAGCTGGCTTCTATGTGGGAAAGCAGCAGAGTTTCAGAAGAGTTAGCTAAAAGCCTACTATTTTTCCCCTTTCTTTTCTTTTGATCAGTGAAATGGCTTCATCTGGTAAATTTTAATGTGTAAGGGCACACTGAAATGAGATATTATAATACAATAACAAACTGATTTACACCATCTCTGCACAGAAACTGGCGGTAGTACCAAAATGATGATAAGCTTTGGGATGTGAACAAACACAATTACGCAATTAAGTTGAGACCGTAAAAACATCCTCTTCTGAGTAGTTCCTGAGCCAGGGGATAAGGAAATCAACCCAGTAGTTAAGGGTTCATAGCACATTTCAGCAAAGACTATAGCCATCATTCTTATATTGCTGTATGCTCACATTATATCACAACTTTCAGAAGGTTAACGATCCATACTCTGAAATCTCAAATAACAGGCCCATCTCTCTTAAAAAGAGGACTCTAGAGAAAATCAACACTAGCTTTCACAGTTCTTGGTGGCATCTTTAAAGTTCCAAATTGTTAAGTCTCCTCTGCTACCCATCGCTTCTCACAAAGCATTTGAAATCATGTCATAAATTAAAGATTATGAAACAAAGGCTTCAGAATAATTTAACCATTATATTTATCATGGGGAAAATCTTGCACTGAATATTAAATACTATCCTTAAAGCCATTTGGTCTTACAGAACAACTATGGACATTCAGAAAAGCAAACAGAGTTATATTTCCAAAGTGCTACTGAGATTAGAAAAAGAGCCTCAGAGGTAAACAATCTTCTCCTCTACTCTGCCTCCTCCTTCTGCATCCTGCAGGCTCTCAGGCGGGTGGTTCAGCAGCTGTGCTTCTACCCCTGGCAGCTGGATGGGTGCCTGGTTTGGAATGCTTGTCTGGGGACACTGGGTCTGTGACGCATTCAGATCTGTAACACACAAGAGAACGGTATTTCACAATGCATCTTTCGCCATGCCTGTACCATCGTAAAGAGCAAATACTGACTTTTTCTTTAGCACCATTTCCTAGTTTGCAGCACCTGTTTAGAAAGGAAAACACTGCTGTATTACAAATTATACTACAGTCTGGTAAGAGGTACCTTACCCAAATTTACTGAAATCTCTTCAAGGCTGTCCACTGTCATCTAAGGTATGATCACTGTCACTATTTTTACAGTAAAATAAATTTATAGCCCTACTTCACTAGCCAGACACGCAATAATAGAAAGGCATAAATGCTGTCAGAGATGGGCTGGAGGGAAACATACAGCACATAATTAGTATTTCTATTAGTAATAATAAAATTGTAAAACTAATACAGTTTCCATCATTGCACAGAATTTTATTTTCAAGCCTTCCTTTCACAGACAAAAAAGAATTAACTGAGTAAAAGTTAAAAGTCTACTTGACTAACACTTGGTATCTGTAACAGATGTATAACCATCCAGCTTTTTCTGCCAAGTATATCTATTGCACAAACTATCTACTCTATTCTTGCCTCAATCCTTTAAGTGTGACATGGAGATAATACTTGCACCCAAACACTAAGAAATTATTTCACAATGATCTTCATTTGTTATCTTTCCAAGTTGCTCGTACAAATGCAGAGGATCAGGTACTTGTTTTCTAGCATTAAGCTCTGAGGGCTTTTGTGATGATCTGTGTACTACTTAAAAAAAAAAAAAAAAAGGTTGGGTTTTCTCCTTAGTCAGCTCCCTGTACCACTTCAGGCCTTTCGGAACTACCCCTTAGCAGCTGGCATTTCTACATCTGTATTTCTGCAAAGCAATTTTTACCATGAAAACAAGCTGCACAACAAGGGAGCGTGTATGGTCACACCTAGGGATAAGAAAAGTCCACAATGGACTGGCTGCAATACCTTTGGAGAACTAGTTGGAGAAGCCTAATTGCAAATTTGAAAAAAAACACAAAGAACATGCACTATCAGTACTATAATCTTGAATGGACCAACCTCCGTTATTCCATCACGAGGGTTAACTTTTCATTCTTCCTTCTGCAAAAAGGACTGCAGGAAGAAGGGGAGCTTGGCACTGCTCCCACAGAATGGGTAATGCCAGAAGCGAGCAAACTCAGCAGTGGCATCCTTTGAGCCTCAGCCATTCATACAGAGCACTAAAAAGACATTTCATGCCTGCTCTGGTGCCTACCCCTTCTCACATACATATGCAATAAAAAATCTATTATAAAGGAGAAATTTGGGGGGGTGTTTGTCTGGTTTTTTGTTTGTGAGGGGTTGTTTTGGTTTGGGCTATGCTTTTTTGGGCTAGTTTTGGTTTTGTGGGGTTTTTGGGTGGTGTTTTTGTTGTCGTTTGTTGTTGGGGGGGGTTGCCTTTTTTTTTTTTTTTTTTTTTAAACACACCATGTCGCTCTAACTGGTGGCAATTTAAAATGACACCTGTCTACATTTGGCATTCCCCTGACACATGTGACTTTCACCAGTCTCGTTGTCTGAGGCAGGAGTTTAAGGCAAAACTTTCTTCTGCAAAGCCCAGGCTCCCAGGCTGCTCCCAGCCACAGGCCATGTGGAGTGGTGGGAGATGACTATGGACAGGCAGGTGGGAACACATTGTATTGCTGCCTCTGCCTTCAGCACCTTCTCCTCTTTGATATTCATTCACACAGATGGGGGGAGCAAACAGGCTTTGGAGTTTCAGCTATTGGTGTATAAACCACATGTATGTTATACCTGCTTCCTCTATACTGTGAGAATGCAGTTACTGTGGCAGGGGCAAGGTATTTATACACTAAAGCTGCTTGGTCATGGTGGGATGATACAGAATGTTAAGAAAATTAATCCCAAATTCCCTTTCTTTCACTGTTTTACACTAGATTTAAAGGATCAAGTTTCAGTCTTGGTGAAAATCCAGAGTAAGTCTTGACTGCAGGCGAGTTATTTGCAATATATAACACAGCAGGATTTGACTCCCTAACTTACTTAAACAGGCTCTCTTTGTTAAAGATTACTTTTGCATTTATTTCTTTTTGATAGCCACAATAGAAAAAGATTACAATTTGCAGTCTGATTTTCTTTATAGAAATTGGATAGTTCAGTTTTATTTATTTACTAAAAAGAGCCCTACCAGTGAAAGGTCCTCTAAACCCTTTTATTTTGGGGTAATTTTACCCACATTAATATTTCTTTTAAGTCCTGTGAGTCTATTCACCTTCACAAAGTCATGCACATAAGAATACCAGGCAGTAAGCATTTATTTGAAAGCTGTTTCCAAAGTTTATGAAGTACATAATTGAAGAAGCCTAATTACAAATTTGAAAAAACACGGAAAAGAAACACCTTACATGCAGTTATTTTCCATCATCAAAATTAAACAGTAATTGCTTCACCAATTAAAACAGTAGCTGTTTCCAAACCATTTCTCGTTAACTGTTACAACTCTTAGCAGCAGACCTGAGCAGTGGAAACTATCAGTGTTCTGGAAAAACAAATCAGAATCTGTAACTACCAATAAATGATCTATCTGTACTTTAGCTGCCTTTTTATTTCCCCCCCCCCCCCCTC